AATGACATCGAATTATATTGCTACTTGTATGAATATAGTTGTTATTTGGCATATGCAGAATCCCGAAAAGACGACATTAGAAACCAATAATGGCATTTTTGGAAACTACTTTCTTTTTAACTAATAAACAACAAAGACAGCTGTCAACTTTTTTATTACACACTTTTACAATAGCTTTAAATGTTATAAGGAAAACAAATCTTTAATCATTTAGGTATCGTTAAACAGCTGCAAAATAGTCAATATGAACTATACTTTGAATACTAATTTATCATTGGAAATGTTATCTCTACAATATATAGATAATAAAAAACCATTACTACCTGATGAACTCCATTAACAACAAGTTTGACCCATACGTCATATGCATACTCTCCTGGTAATTTTCTGGCCGTCACTGACCAAGATAGAAGATAAACCCCGGAAACAGACACTCGGAATATTCCTGAAAAACATATTATACATGTATTATATCAATATATTATAACAAAAAGGAATACTTCGTCGTCGCTTCAAGTGCATATTTGTTTATTAAAAAAAGGTGAGTTTCGGGCGCTTAAGATACATCTGGACAGAGATACTTACATAAAGATTTCCATAGAATAAATTGTTAACACAAAGCATTACTCAGACCAACAAACGATTATAAGCTACTACCGGTTTTGTCACTGTACGCTCCGCTGTCATTTAGAAGAATCTGGTTGTACTGGCTGGTCTTTGCCCAAATTTCTGATCTCGTCTCTCCTCGACTCTGGACTGGCAACACCTACCTTTCTCTTGGGAGTGGAGATTTTCAACTACAGTTGATATATCAGGTAAGTGATTTATTATCATTATTTACTTGGTGCAAACTGTAATAATTGTGATTCAAATACGCAGTGAATGCAATGTTATCCGACATTTGATGTCTATCTATGCTTTCTATGATAGTTAAAAAACCTTAACATAACAATATGTAAACATTTTCCTGTACATGATTCTAACGGGTACTTGTTATTCTTTAAATTAGTTCAATGCATATCAACTTTTATTTTTTCTAATATATCGAAGCAAAGATTTCTGTAAATTATTTCAGAATGAATATTTATCCAATATCAATATTTAAGTAGGTTTTGTTGGTTTGTAAAAGCTTTAGTTCACAAGTTTTAATTGGTTTTCTTCGTATAAGGTATATTTTCATCAGATGCATGTTTAGAAGAATCATTCTTATCTAAAGCGTCGAGAAACATAATTTTGCTTTTCTTTTATCTGTATAAAAATGATTCCGTATGAAAAATGTATGTACGCTTCGTGCTCTTTTCAACGTTAATAGATTAGTAAACATATCAACCTCATTGATGCCAGCACTATTAAGTGTTGCGAATTGAGTACTGCTCAAGCCGGTGCTAGTGGGCGTGAGGGATGTTGCACATATGCATTATCCCTCATGTACAGACTCAATCAAACCGAGTCTGCAATTCTCTTGTAATCTTGTTGTGATTAATGCTTCCGAGGGATCACTTTGTTTCCAGATTTTTATACTTCACAACAGCTGGTGTCAAGTGCTGTGTGGCAGCTGTAAAAAGTTGCCCCGTACTTCACTTCAGTGTTGTTATATTTTTCTGGTCCTTCGGGATCATTGATGCCAGCACTATTAAGTGTTGAGAATTGAGTACTGCTCAAGCCGGTGCTAGGGGGCGTGAGGGATGTTGCACATATTCATTATCCCTCATGTACAGACTCAATCAAACCGAGTCTGCAATTCTCTTGTAATCTTGTTGTGATTAATGCTTCCGAGGGATCACTTTGTTTCCAGATTTCTATATAAAATTATAACGATATTCCCGATATAATTACTTATTATTCTTTTTCCATTAAGTTTATAAAGTAAATGATAAGTTTATTGACTTTTTCGGAGAACATCTTGTTTAGAATTTGTATATTCCGAGTCTTTTTCTTTATCCTGACAGTTATGTTGTATATTTGATACATTTCTGTCGTCTAAAGGTACTTTTTGTGCATTGTTACTCAGTTGCACAATGCTATTATCAGTCTCAGGTTTTTTCCCGTCACATGTAGACACCCTGTTTGTCAGGTCATCTATTTGAAGTCGAAATCGTGCTGTAGTTCCTATCAACACACTTATAGATTGTTTCAGATCTCGGTTGTTCTTTTCCAACTTTTGTTAATCTTTTTCTGCATTCTTTAAACTTTTGATGAGCTTCAATATCAACTCGTTATCAAAATCCATAACGTGACTTTCGTAGACACCATGACACACAGAATAAAACAAAGAAAATTCGATAATTTCACTTACGCCATCTCTACTATAGTATTCTGACTTGCGCCATGAATGTATTCTAGTACAAAAATATAGCTGACACACACTTCATAAGATTACAATCTCGTTGACGTTTGGCACGTAAGAAAAGGATATATGTGTCAAAATTTGAATTGATATGAACGGTAATCTACCAGGAAATATACACATTAATTCATTCGGTTACCTGAACTTTTCAATTTGTAATATAAATTTGTAGAGAACACAAATGTGTGCAGATCTGAAAAAGATTTCAGTAACATAACAATACTTTTGAAGTACTAAATGAAAATAATTCAATATTTCTTTACTTAAATGTACATGTATTTGTTTGTTCTCTTTTGTAGCTTGTAGAATAGCAGTCTAAGTCACCAGAAGCTTTTTTAAATAAGTTAACATCAGCATCAAGAGAAGTGTTAAAATAATAAGATAAACAAAATATTACTTCAATCACTGAGGATATGATGCACGACCATAATGAATTGTGCATACCCAGTATCGGGAAAATTGTTTTTGTTATATCTGTGTAAAAAAGGAAAAATAGAGCAGTAAGTATGTTAACTTGTGCATAGATATCTCAAGTGAGCAGTTACTATATTCAGTGATGAATATTTTTCGTCCTTCCGATGCACATAAATCTCGCATATCAGATCTGGTAATACGGACGGTTGACTATTTCTGCAAAGTCTCAGGGCAAAGTTATTTCAGGAAACGGACATTTGAAGTTTGTCTGGCAGATGTGCATATATAGCGGGGTGGGAAATTGAGAAAATAGTGCAAATGGTGATACAAGCATGAAACTTTCAGGAAGTCATCTGTAGACCATGTAGATTTCAAAAGTGAAGCGGGCCCAAAAATATCTCTGCTCATTGAAGATGGCCGCCATGTTAAAAATGGCCACCATATAAAATTTCACGCCCACTTCACTTTTCGAATCTGCATGATCTAAAGATGATTTCCTGAACGTTTATGCTTGTTTCACCATTTGCACTATTTTGACAGCAGAAACCTTATTTCCCGCCCCACTAATATCCTTAATTCCAACAGTATGGATTTTTTATTACCCAAATGTATGATAAAGTTTCATTTTAAAAGGAAAGGCTTGCCCAGTTGTGCCATCATCCTATCCCTTTAAAATGATTTTTTTTTCGAAAAAAAATCCTAAATCAACTCTTTATGATAAAGAAATAATTATAAAAAAAATAAATAAATTGACCTTATATACCAGTAAAAAGCAAGGTACCTATGTTTTTACAGGTAAAGAGGGTCAATTTATTATCAATATTTATTTGTATATCATAAAGGGTTTATTTAGGATTTTTTTTCGAAAAAAAAAATGTTTCACTTTTAAAGGGGTAGGTTGGGTACCCCAAAACTGGACGAGCACCTGTGCCCATTTGTGCCACAAGTGTTATGCATGCAAATTTGGAAAAAAGGAGCAGAAGTCAACTGATTATAACTAAACCTGAACATTCTGACGATAACAGTTAAACTTTGTTTGTAAAAACGAATATTTTTTTTTGTCAAAAACGATTTGAAATCTATTCTCTATTGTATAAAACTAATAAAAAAATAATCAATCGTAAAAATACTAACATTGGCTCTTCCACGTGGAGGAAATAAAACTATATATCTATTATACTGAAGGGAAACAAGTGTGCACATTAATTTTTCACTTTTTTTTTCGCAGAAAGAGTCATTCGATTTGGCAGTTGCTAATTTCATTTAAATAGCAGCTTTATAGACAATCAATGCACTAAAAGACTTAGTTACGTGGTATCAATTAATATGCATGTATTAACTATTTTACACCTATCTATGTCACGTGTCTGTTGATCACAAATATACCGACAACACAGGATGCGCTATCTGTAGATCAGCATGTGGTAATTAAGGTAAATGTTATGCATTGGCTATTTTTAGATTCCCAATCACCAACTTTTAGCTCCACGTTAGAATTGTGTTTAAATATAGGACACAGTAGATTTAAATATAACTCGATCGCAGACAAATTGGTAGAGCTATGCAACGCACTAATTCTCTGTGTGATTCGGTCACGATCTTTTGGTAAGTAGGACCGCCCTTTGAAGACGGAACACTACTACAGTAGCCATTCTCCTTTGTATAAAACTAATAAAGACAAAAATCAATTATAAAAGAAACTAATTTACGTCTTGAAAACGAATTGAAACGGAACGTTTTCGTTTATCTTCTACTTACGTTTTAAACCGATATATGAAGTAAAAATAGAAATCCTAATCATTTAAACAAACTTAGATTACCGAAGTAACTAAAAAGAGCTTAGATTTCCGTAATATTACTTCGTTTGATTCCGCTGTATGACGGAATCGCCCGAATCGTCACGACTGCAGCGGAACCTAACAAATGAAAGCAGGAAACCACTTAACCGGAACAACTTTTTCAAAACAAATTTAGGTGTAGCGAGTGTTGTTTTGCATGTGTGATACACATCGGAGTAACGCGTATATGTTTTGTATGAAGAATCAAAATTGTTTCCAAATGTCGTCCCTACCTTTCCTGGGATGTTACAATTTATTCAGGTTTTCGTTGCATTTTAGGTATAAAGCGATTGACCTTTAAAAAAGATAAAAACGTTTACAATAAGGAGCATAGCGCAGTAATCCCTTTCTGATGAGATAATAGCAACACGGGGACAGACGATTCATCCTTCACTCCGTACAAGTATAAGAACTTGACAGGTGACTGAGACAACATTAAGAATGACTTTTGTTTTAACTTATTTGTGGAAATTCCAGAAAGAGAAACAAAGTATTGTAACCTGTATCAAGGATAGAAATACATTGCTATAATTGTAATTTTTTCTTCTAAAATAATGCAAAGCAGATGAAAACAGAATCCCTAAAGAAAGCCCAATACGGCAAAATTGAAAATGTCGCAGGTTCGACTTGCAATTTCAACTATCGTCCACACTCTCTACCGCCGACTTAAGCAGAATTCAATATTTAACATAAACTGTTGAATTAGATGTGTTCATATGGCGTTTATCATGCATGGAACCTTCAACTACCATGCAATGAGAATAGGCATATGGTCCCTAAATAAAAACATGCCTGTACCCTAAACGAGAAAACAATGGAATGGGCGAAACAAAATTCTTTTAATGAAATAGAATTTTGAAAGGGGATCAGAGACTATGAAGCCCGCATATGATTGATTGGCTTTCAAAAGACAAAATTATAAAGCAGGCAAAATATCCATAGAATTATTGAACTGTATTATTGGAAATAACTTAAAGTACCTCAAAAAGCACTCATAAACAATAACGTCGCACTGAACGATCTCTAAGGATCGAAAATATAACATTTTTGATTAAATATACGGGGAGACTTTTTACAGCCGCCACAAAGCATCTGAAGGAATATCTCTGTCTATTTCGCAATCATTTATCTTATATTTGATCTTAAGGAAGGACTGAATGTTTTCTGATATTTGCATTATTTAAACGACGAACTAAACCTAATGAAAGAAGCATTATTTCTCCAAAAAGCCTAATGAAAGGAAATAAAGATCTCGGAAAAGCCGGCGAACTAAAACCAAATATTAATTTTTACTAAATGAATATTTATTAAAGTAAATGAAAGCAAACGGAATGACATGTCATAGTATATGAGTATATAGATAATATTCCAACTAACCAGATGTTAAATATTTTTATCCTAGTCAGCAATTCTGGTTACTTTTACATTTCAATCATCGTTGCTGTCCGGATAATTCAATTTCGTTTACTATTTTCATAAGCCTTTTCAACTTGACACAATTTCTTATCAGCATACTTATTCAACTCGGTAAAATACTTTTGTTAAAATACATACAGTGAAACAGTATGGTCTTGTAGGATACTGTATTGATCACTATGCTTAATATATGTAAACAGGTAGTTATGGGAGAAATGTCTATTGATTCCTTTGACAGAAATATACAGAATTATGTGCTAAAGGCTACGTTGATGTATATGTTAATCGACTGAGTTACTCGATTTCTTTACATCTGACTCAATATGACAAGATGTGAAATGATCACTTATTTTCAGGAATTCCATCAGTTTTTAAATATGAAATATAAAATTTGATGATGGTTGTGGTAGTTATCAATTATGTTCTGCGTTTACTTGCATACACATAAACACAACTGAAACAAAATTGCAAGATTCCAGTCCTGTTGCTTTAGAAGACATCTATGTGAAATTTCTAGTTCTTTGTTTTCTAAAATAAGTATAATCTACGGAAAGGTAGACGAAGAAATGATTCGTTGTTTTCAACCTTATTCTAGGAAACTGACAACTGTTTTCACATGTCTCCGTGTCTTCGCTTCTTCGGCAATTACAGTTATTTCTGTGCCTCCAAACATAAATGTCACTTCTAGTGGGTTATTGCTCATACCACGTGAGCCAGATAAGTTTAGAATGATCTTGCCAATAACATGACAGTCTTTGTCTGTGGTAAACCTAGGGTTTAAAAGTTTTGATGCACATATATAAAAGTGTACCTTCTTTTGATTTCGATATTGTGGAAAATACCATTCCTTGTGTTGCATGTCAAATTTTATTGAATCTCCTCGAGTAACGTGCTTGTGGAATATATCTTTACACTGAACTCCACTATCAATGACCAAACGTTTCTCTATGGGGTGTTTATCTGGAATGAATTTTGTACTACCTGAAATACCATAGCTATATTTCAAAACCCTCTCTGAAACAACAGGCGGATAATATCCATATAAAACTGCCCCTTGAAGCACTGCAGTTGACGCCTCTACTGGTACAATAACAGGAATGTGAGGAAATTCAGATTTTACAAGTTGCTGCAAAAGGATACATTCAGAGAAGCCACCTACCATTAAAATACAGGAAATTGTTCCTCCGTGTATTTTTCTTATCACTTTTTTTATTTGCTGTATTGTCATGTCTGTAGCTGGTCCGAAAAACTTGACGAAAACATCTGATGGGAAGGAAATTTTGTCTCTTTTGATAATTATGTCTTCACCAAAGTCCGTCCGGTTAAAGGCTTTTTCAATACTCTTTGTCTTCTTCACTATTCGTAGAAATGAATTTCGTTTGTTTGATTCATATATATCTTTTAAACTTAGCGGAAATCTCATATTTACACGATGGGCATTATCTGGATGAAAAGATTTCTTTTTCACTTCAAATTCACCCATTAGAAACACCCAATCTTCAGTTTCCGATTGTTTAAACTGTTCATACTTTTCATCAGACAGAGCAGTTTTTAGGAACTTTTCGAACTCCTTGTTCACTGCATTTCCGCCGAAAATATTTCCACTTGAAACAACAACTTGTTTAACACAATTTGAAGGAGCAATTTCGTGTATTGTTAAATCTATTGTTCCACCTGAAGAGTAAGTTGTGCTTTGAATAATACATGTGTACAAAGCAAATTATTAGTTTTGTTAGAATCAGATATTTCATTTTGTTCACACCCAAAAATATTATTTTGAACACTTACATGAATAAAAACTAGTGATTTTTTTTGCAGTATTTGAACTATGATGCAATAATGATGAACAAATAAATAATTTAAATTGATATGAGAGCAACTAAAATATATTTTAATTTTGAAAGAAAATCGTTTTTAGATATATAGTATGATAATTATTGTCATGTTATCGGCCGGTAATGTACCTTTCTTTTTCTAAAAAGCTCAAAATAACCGAATACTTACCACCAGCATCTAGCACAAGGTATTTACTTCCAATCGTCAAGGAGGATAACGTAACACCAGAGTCTCTATTAACAGCACAAACATCAAGTTGCCGACAATAAACTGACGCAGCTTCAGGCTCAAGAGCTATTGATATACTGTCTGATGATAATCCTGCCTAGAACATATATATGAATGTTGTTATTTGTAATATAATACCATTTATTGAATGATGTTTGGTAAATATTTTATCTGTTTATTTAATTCGAATAAAGTTGTTTTATGGCAAACTTCCGAAGTGGGAGCATACTTTGAAAGGATCGGTCCATACGTATGTAAGTACGTAAGTACGTACATTGTACGTAATTACTAAACCTTTCTTTGTCCAGAAGGAATTCGCCCTTATCTATGGGATGACCATTAGATAACCCCTATTGAATTTGCGGACAGATGGTCAAAGATCAAGGTCATCGTGGCCTTGATCATTTAAAGATTGTCCTACCAAAAATCCGAGAACGCTTTTGTCTACAGTCGTGGTTGATCATAACTTTAAAATTAGTCTTACTTTTTTCAGGTCAGAAGTTAACAAATCAATGCCAATGTTTTGTTTTATAAAAGCTTTATCAACAAATAACTAGAGGGATCAATAACATACATATTTGATGTTAAGTAGAGTCATGACCAATAGATGATCCCTTTTGGTTTGAATGTCAGTTGGTGATGGTCCAAATGGCGCACATGGTATTTTTATAATGAAAATATGTGTTTCCTTAGTCAAATATTTGAGGAATTTAGTGATACATGTAGTTATTATATAACTTTTATTTATGTTTTTTATAAATACATTTCATATTCATATGACACTTTATAAAAAACTATGCATATGTATGTGCATATGCTATTGTGACAGCAACAGATGTGATGGACTCGTTTTTATTTGAAAAACACCTTACTTGTAAGGCAGATTTTCTCATCAAATTTTTTGCTTGGTCTGTCCAGATTGCAGGAACAGTAACAACCCATCTTATATCCCCCGGTCGTATGTCTTGAAATCTTCTTTTTAAATCCGTGAACATGTCCTCGGCTAAAAACCGAATGCTTACTGAAAATACTTTTATTGCTGGAAGCTCCTTTTCCATTTGGTCAACAAGCTTCAGTTCTGTGCTCAACGGCTGTAAAATATATGGACAATGCATGCATCATGATAAGACAAAAGGGAACCTTTCTTAAGTGCATTCAACCCTTTGTATAACTGCATTTATTGCGCACACCTGATGAATCTTTTATTTTAAAAGTATTTTCTTTTGTAAAAACGTTATACTAAATATTAAAAGAGCACAATTTGAACCGTAGAGTACAAATTAATTATGTAACATCAGTCGTCGGCACATACTTTAAAAATCTTACACAGGCTGCCAGTACAAACCGAAATATCTATCTCGAAGGTAATTGGTTACGCTATAACGGGGCTCTTTCGAGTTTTCAATAAACAATTACCAAAGAGCTAGCTATTCGCTTCTGTGACGAAAGCCGTTGTTTGGTTATTTCCGAAAACTGCTTTTTTCATTCAGCCCACGTACAATTGTGTAGCGCATGAATTTACAAATCCATTCATAACGTCAAAAAAAACGTATTTCATTCATAAAAGGCGCGCGGAATGACGTCATTCAAAGCACGTGACTTGTCTTACAAGGTGGATGTTCGACAGGTTCTTATTGGTTTGGGTTTTCAGACCAAACAAATAATGGTAGCGAAATTTCAAACCCTGATGTGCTCATTTGCAAATACCGAAAGTAGTCCAAACTCTTCGAAGCGGTTACTTTCCTTTATAAGTATACTAACGCCGAAAAAGTAAGGGGAAATCACTGCGTAAAGATTGTCAAATGACAGGTGCATTAATTATCGGGGAAGGAAAAATAATTCCCGATTGGTCGAAGATTTCTAATATTGTGTTATTATCCAACAACATTGACCTGACACTCTTGCATTTGACCCTGTAGTCGGTATATTCTGTAAACTTAACGATGTACTTGTAAATCGATATGTTTATAAATATTCAATTGTTAAAATTATGTAAAATAAAAATCCCTGTTAACGCAGTTGGTAAAGTGTTTTGACTTGTAAACTGGTAGGATCGAATCCTATTTCAATTATTTCTTTTCTTTTTTTATTTGAATGTTAAAATTGCCATTCTCTTAAAACTGTTGCAAATTTACCTTTTTGTTGTGTGTAATATCAGTGTAGTATTTTTAATATCTGCCTTTATAACGTGTATGCGCTAAAGTATTTACGATTGCATATAATGTCACAAAGAGAATCGTTGAAAAATACTGTAATGAAATAAAATTATAATTGTGTATGAAAACACCACTTAATTAAAAGGTATTCTAAATCCAGGATGTAGTAAAACGATTTCAAATTAATTCTTGCAAAAAATCACAACGTGCTGTTGGTAATGAATCGAACCAGAGACCTTCAGATCGGTAGTCCGACATCTATACCAATGCACCACATCTCACTGATCAGTTATGTTAGCAAATATATCGATATATTCGATAGACATAGGTCAGTGTTTACTCAAGTGACCTTTACGAAAGTTAATGAAATGCCAGGTCAATATTGTTGGACAATATTCTTTACAGATAAACATGCTTATATTAAGCTCTATGATTATTTACATCAGTGTTAAACAACAGGTTTACCGTGAAATTAATAAGGGTTACAAACCCTAATTTAGAAAAATGTGGTTTTCTCCAGCCTGTTATCTTAAAACTTCAACGTGGTCGAGGGGTTACATGCTCTGAGAGGTCTGGAGTTCAAATCCCAGTTAAGCAACCTTTTTTAATTGTTTAATGCAAATAAACATTGAAATGAATATCAGTTTAAAACCAATTTGCTACAGTTATAACACTGGAAACAGCATTGGTGGCACTATACAAAACCAAATTGGTTTATAATCTCACAACCTTCACCTTCTGATATTCTGAGACCCAAACAAATTCAGCGCCTTCTGTGCTTTGAATTTTCTAGCAGCGGCGTAAACAGTAGGTAATCCAGTCTTATATGCAAGGATATACTATCTAGCTGAAGAGTAAGAGTTGAAGTAACGCGACTTTGCCCTCACATCTTAAAAGTGGAAAAGGGTTAATATAAAATTTGCCAGACCGGGTTCAAAACTTTAAGATTTAGTCTGATGTGAAAAAAGAAGACATAAGCATCCGAGTGAATTTCTACAAATTGTTTTCATGATCAAATGTTTTTTTTCTCCTCTTCTTTTGGTTCTGATATGCTAGAGAAGTCACACTAAGTACACAAAAGATGGCACTCTCTATCTTATATATAACATATTATATATACATTAGATAAACCACCATTCGGAAATAAAACATGAGAATTATATTACCTGATTATATTTCCCATACAGACTAGTTTTGAAGTTTTTAAAGAAGAAATACTTCTCGTGTTGGTCTTTTGATAATAATTCATTATATCTTCTTTCTGCCTCATAGCCGAATGAGTCCAGTGTTTCACCGTCTGGTTTTATCAAAACGCATGTTGATGTTTTTCCAGTGGAACATGAAGTGTATGTTGAATACCAAGGCTTTACATGAATATTAGTTCCTTTCGCCTTTTCCAGATCAGAAATGGAGGCAAATGCCCATCCAGAAAACGAAGTTCCAACGTCTATGGCCGCAACAAAAAGCTTACTGTCTGCCTGAAATCATCGTGATATAGTTCTTAGTTTTAAGCTCGCATTATTTTACAAATCTGTTTCTTGATTGCTGATATATAGTATATCGTTGTACACGTTGTACATCTTGACACGCTTTATTTGCAGATAGAGACGCAACGGTACGTATTGTTGATTTGCCTAAATAAATGTATGCCTAGGGAATAACATAATCTACCCTTAACCATTCTTATAGACTTATATAGTTATACTGAAATACCAGCTGCTAATAAATAATAATTAATAAATCTTTATCTTCTTTAATCAAAATTCGTGTTCCAGAAATATCAAATTTTGCGCCATTAGGGTAAAAACATACGAGTGCATGTTTACGTTGTAAAACAGACAAAGCGGATGTAACATGTGACTTCAAAATAGATAACAAGAATGGCTTTAAGAAACAAGTATCGGATTGTTTTTGATAAGTTTTAAAACCTACACACATAATCTGAATTACGCTCCCTTCGCAGCTCACTGAATACACTCACGTTACTTCAGACCGCTGCTGTAAGAAGCGCCGATTTGTGATATTGACCTTTACAGTGAACTTTGAACTACCAACGAAAATCTACCAAATTCCAAATCATCCAAAAATCTTTTTACGCATTTTCATTGGTTGAAACATATCACGTGTCTACAAAATTTATAGATAGACGGGTATTTCCTCGTTAGTTTGTAAACAAAATACAAGAAATAGCGTATCCGGCCAGACATCTCTACAAAAGTTTGTTTTTCGTTCAACCATTGAACAAAATTAGGATACATTTGATTGTTCTAAACATGGTCATTAAAGTAACTGTGTTTTTCAATGAAAAGCGAACCTTCATCGGCATAATTTACGAGAGAAACCAATTTCCGCGATTTAGATCTACATCGGAAAAAAACATTGACAGGACAAATTTTGTATGTCTACTGCACTCTGATTCAGACAACTCTATATCATGTGTGAGAAAGATGCGACTGTAAGTGATGTTGTAGAGAATTGAGATTGTACTGTATTTGATTAAGTAGCCATCAGTACACCAGTCTGATCTGCAGGTGTCAAGACAGTTCAGGTGTCATTATGTTATGAATTTTGATTTATGTTTAAAAATTTGAGTTTGTAATAATGTGTTAGTAATGTGACATTATTTTCCACTGTCCAGGAGAGGAAAGTTTAGTTATATATTTCAATAGACAGACTATTAGAATTGTGATTGAACAATGATTGTTGATCAGTTAATCCTAAATATAAAAAGACTGCCACACTCCTTTAATAAAGTGACAGCCACGCTCCTTTAATAAAATGACAGCCACATTCCTTTAATAAAATGACAGCCACACTCCTTTGATAAAATCACAGTTTATGAAGGATATTTACAAATATTTTTGTTGTTAATGGGATTTATACATTACTTAGTTAACATTTATTTTTAGTAATTAATTTAAATTATCACAGAATCATGACAAATGCATACCTACCCAGGGAAATATGATTCAGCACCCTTAGCATTACTACATGTGAAATATCTCAAATTGACCAGTTATCTTTCAATATGGACTAAAGCATTTATCAATTTGACAGAAACTTCACAAAATTTGTAGTGACTGAAAAGTGAATAAGGCAGTCCATGGTCAGATATTACGACACAGTTGGCCTCCACAATAGTTTTTAAAATTCTTTAAAGTGTTAAATTTGTATAAAATATGTAACCATGCAGCTAAACAGAAATTTAATCTATGTGTGCATGGAATATAGAAAATTAAGTAGCCATCATTTCATACAGTGTTTGATTTCTCTTAAATTCTTTTGCAATTGTTGTTGTTGTTGTTGTTGTTTTTTTTTTGTTTTGTTTTCATTAACAAAAATACAATCCTATTACATTAAGAAATTTTTAAATAGTTACTATATTGATATTCGTTTCATTTTGTTAACAAGAATATGTTCAGCTGTAGAAGATGTGTTTTGAACTTGTTACATAATATAAACATTTACAAGATATCTTCCAGATTGAACACAATAAAGTAATTTATGTGGCTTTTAAATAAAAAGAGTCTTGTCACAGTTATCATAATTCATAAATTAATTTTTATAAAAGGGCCATACAGTTAAAAAAATTGATTAATTAATATACATGTCAGGGTTATGCAGGAGATAAGTGTTTTTCATGTATTTAAAAAACATGGATTTGTTCATTACTTGAAAACACAAATCATTTTTAGGCAAAAACTGTCAGGAGCGTTTGGCATACGTGTATATTTATTTGACCTTTATAGCAGAATGGCTTACACTTAAGTATTCATTTGTGTAAATACTAGAACAAAACATTGCTTCATGGACAGTCAAAATTCTTGACAAGAAATGTAAATAATACATATAATATCTTCCATAATCCATAGGTCATTTTAAATGTAAAGAGTTTGTTACGGTTATATTTCTCTTGGGACAAATTAGTCTATTTTTGATAGATTGCACAAATATCTGTCTTATTGACTGTTTAAGGTCACATAATTACAGGCTGCCTCAAAAACAAAGTTACTATTAAAGTTTGGCCATGATAGCTAGAGGGATTTTACTATTCCCAAATGTAAGGTGCTTATGGGGTAATGAAGGTATAAATTAAACAGTAGCTCAAAGGAGATACTTTAGGAGATGATTTAATTTAAAATTTTAAGTTTCTGCATTTTGACAGATGTCTGTAGATATTTAAATGGATCAACACCATTTACTTGTTATCCTCTTCTGAAATTACTGTGGACTATATTTTGACATTTATTAACATAAAGTTGGTTATTTGCTTTAAACAACAGGACTGTTACTGTATACATGATGTTTTCATACTCTACAATTCTTATATACAGTACCATATACATGTATATAATTGAATAAATGTAATAACTTCTATTTTCCTTTGGGTATATGACAAAAACAGAAATGAGTTTCATCCAGTGTTCACAGGGGTTGAAGAGCTTTGCTAGCACTTACAGCTACAGCTAGCGCAACAGATTGTGCCAAATAAACACTGTGTACTAAGTACATATATAAAATGACCATTAGAAAAAGTACAATAGAACTTCAAGGCAGAAATCATCGAAGAAATCAGTTATCAAAGTATATGTGGATCTGAAAGCCTCTTGTAAGTCAGGGAAGTAAATTTTATGAACAAAGACTTATAATGTGATTTACATCCATTTACTGAAGATAAAATAAGGATTTTTGACCTTGTTTATTTATTTTAAAATTAAAATTTGGAATGGAGAATTATGTGACATATTACTACAGCAAAGATCAAACCAAGTCATCAATCAGAGCCAAATAGCAGTCTTAAAGTCTTCACCACTGCAAAAATGTTGAAGAACGGTAAGACTTCAATATTTGTACAGTATGAACCATCATCAGTATATGATCAGATACCTGCATTCAACATATTGATGAAGTTTAAGTTGTGTTGGAACACTTTCTCATGGAACGCTTTATAGTATAATGTGTAATTTCAGGTCAAGGTTTTGCCAAGGTTTTGCCCGAAATGTTAAGTTAAGGCGACACTGTCACACATAATCCTTTATCTTTTAAATTTTGTAATGTTTGATCAATTTTAAAATTAGCTGTTTCTGAAACTTTAAAATTTACTGTTTGAGATATTGTGTAATGTATTAAGGGTGTAACAAGTTGAACTTTGTTGACCTCATTTGCTGCCCACATCAGGCACCAGTATTTTGTGAATGATATACCCTTTATAAAATTCAATATTTAGGGGTATTTACAGTATTTTTGTTATTATTGTTGCTTATAAATGAGATAGCACCTTTAATCAATTAACAATGAGTTATATCTAATTTTTCCACAGTCTTAAATAAATTTAGATCTGCAGGAAATGTTATAATTACATTGTAAATGATTGCATTTGAACTGGGGACATTTGTTTCACATTAGCATCATATCATATAGAACAAGCTATGATTATTTTTGTTTAGGAATATGGTTCCTGTTCCTAAGTTAGATTTTTTAATTCAACTTGTAATGTCTGACCTAACAGTTTTGCTTTAACATGAAATTATTTATGGGATATTTGTCATTCATGACAACATAATAAGACTTGCAGCCTTTCTTTAAATGCTATTAGATGTTACCTATTTGATTTTGAATTTTGCAAAATGAAAGCATTGATGCAAAATTATATCATCCCTTAGCCAGTAGAGTTTCTTAATGGACATGTCTGGCTTTCGTTTTAAAAAATGTTAATTATCATTTTGGGTACATTATACATCAGGATGAAAAGTTAAAGTTAGTGAGACAAAAGTGTGGAGCCTGTTCAGTCTTAATAGCCAGGTAGTATACTGCTGGCAAAGGCTAATCATTCCGTTTCAGCAGTGTAAGCGTTAAATGCTGGCCTGGTATCAAAGATTTAGTAGGCATTATGTCGGAAAAGTTCAATGGCTCTGACAATTTAAAGTCATTCTTAAATTTTGTGTTCTCAGACTTAAAGCAGCATGCCTCAAAGTTCATGCTAATTTTTATCAAAATTTTCAAAATGTATTTAAAAATATAAAAATATTGTGAAGTGAACAAATAAAGTAATTTACACATTGCAAATGGCACTTACATTCCACGTAACCAAAAACCAGTCAAATATGCAAAAATAGTCCTTATAAGTCACGCTAAGGGAATATGGTGATTAATAATGGAAAATCAAAACGTATCTTTTTACTTTTCTAAAATTCTAAGTACAGTTTATTTTTATTCAAATAATTTGATTCATCTGCAGGCATGAAGATTTAAAACTTATTGAACATTTTCTTTGATAAGCTGGTATAGCTTCTTTACAATCAAGCATCATGAAAATAGCCAATTACACTGTCCTAAGGATACCAAATAATATGACCTGTTTTGAGTAATCGCCTCATAAACCAGATACTGTTCCGACCTTCTTTTGGCAATTGTTATTATATATATATATATAATTAGCTCATCTGTCACAAAGTGACATGGTGAGCTTTTTTGATCG